TTTTCTCATATGGCTAAGGAGTGTAGCCCTGGTCTTGTTTTTACTGTTTGAGCAGACAAATCTATTGCTCATAAAGTCTGACAAACTGAGATGGGAATGATTTACTCCCTCCTGAGCTTCATGAACATCATCATAAATGGCATCATATTTTTTAATATATATATAACCTTTTCTGTATGCAGTACAACTTCTTCCACTTCAGGTAGTGCTACTACTGTTTTATTAAAACAGAACTCCAGGGGAATATTTAAGGAAGACAGAAGTTTCATCTCAGGCAGGCATGCAGGATTCCATCCTTGTAAGAAATGAAAGGACTTGAAAGGAACTTTCCAAAACCGTGGGATTGAGAGCCCTGGGATCCCAGCTCTGCTTCCCGTGTTGGCCAAGCAAAAGGGGGTTGGTTTTGTTTATTTTCGTATTGGCTCTGGGAATCTTTCATCTCTCCCTACATAGTCACCAGGCTCCAGTGGGAGGAATGAGAAACAGGAGGTGAGGCTTTGAACCCAAAAAGGCTGAAGAAGGCAATTCTTGAGCGCACATTGTAACCCCTTACATGCTAGGACTTGAAAGGAACTTTCCAAAACCGTGGGATTGAGAGCCCTGGGATCCCAGCTCTGCTTCCCGTGTTGGCCAAGCAAAAGGGGGTTGGTTTTGTTTATTTTCGTATTGGCTCTGGGAATCTTTCATCTCTCCCTACATAGTCACCAGGCTCCAGTGGGAGGAATGAGAAACAGGAGGTGAGGCTTTGAACCCAAAAAGGCTGAAGAAGGCAATTCTTGAGCGCACATTGTAACCCCTTACATGCTAATAAGCAACACCGGAGAATCATTGCTTCCTCTGATATGTTTCTGAAGAAGGTTGCAACTGAATTCAGTGAAGTCTGGAAGTGTGTGCGATGTGTTTGAGGGATCTGCCCTTGCAGAGCTGCAGTGCCTCTATGTGCCTCTGAATCTCACGGTGAAGGTTAAGCAAATCACACACATGGATACCAGCACCACAGTGGCTGCTTGGGTTTAGACCTCACAGAGGAACATTCAGTTCAAAAGAGAGATAGTAAGTTATTTTAAGACTACCTCATACTGGAAAATGGGTGTTCAATATCCAGAAATTATTTATATTGCCTTCAACCAGTTGCCTCCAATCACTCAACTAAAATCCATCTTAATTCCCTCTTCCCAAGCTTTATAAACAGTCTTTTTCAGTCCTAAAACTTATTCAATGAACAGCCAGACATAGCTTTTCATGTCCTTTTTCTTCTCTCTGATAATTTTTCTCCCCATTTTGAATAGATAACCTCATTTTCTTCTAAGAGACTATATACAGGGGGGTTTTATCTGTTTTATTCTGATTTACAATATTTAGAAGGGTTTGGCATTCAGCAGTGGAAAAACAGATGAGTTTATTATGGTTTTCCTCCAAAACTGATTGAATATAAATTCCTTATCATTACCTTTCAAAAGCTTGTGTATAGTACTCTTACAGTTTTCAGAAGGTAGCTAGTCCAATTTTTCCCTATTTCCCGTAATTTGCATTTTTCCGACCTACACTTTTATTCAACAAAAATCAGGTACCCTCTTCTAAATTCCAGAATCAAAGAAAATAGATCCATAGAGGACACTGACTGTTCAAAAAAACCCCATAAATTACTCCTCTACCCTTCAACTGTCTGAGGATAACTCTGCCTGTACAACCACACACTCCCTTGAGCCCCTGCATGGGATTGTTTAGGTGTTTTCATTAGGGGATAAATAGAATTAGACTGCACTGTTTAGAGGAAACATTTAAGTGGCATCAAAGGTAAAAATATGACCATAATAAAGAAAATGCAGTTCCCTTGGAATGGTATTATCACTTGGTTTCTCTCTATGCGTATAATAGGAGTGACCCTGCATAAGCTTAAAATGTAAGTATGGTTAAACACAACATCCAGAAGGTTACATATCAGCATTTCCCACATTATCAGCAATTTGAGGCAACACCTGGATGAGGAAAGCAATGTGTCATTCCAGTTGTACTCTACTACCTTGGGGTAAGAACTCCATTACCTGCCACCTTCAGTCCACAGTTTCCAGCATATTAAGGCTCTCATTAATACAGCTTCTTTTGAAATTCCAAAAACTGTGATTCTTTTTATTAATTAATTGAATTTATTATTTCAATATTAAAATTAATTAATAAAATATAACATTATAATTATCAATTCATAAATTGATTATTTAAACATTAAAAATGCCTCTGTCTTAGGCAGGCATTTTGAAGTGCACTGGTATGTTTGGCTAATCAGTGATATTTTTGTCAGTGGTAAGCTGCAGGCCTTATCTTTCTCAATGTCATGGGTTTAATATGTGCTCATAGTGAAAAAATGCTACATTTCAGGTCTAAGCATTTTCTAAAAGTAGCCTTACAACTGCAAACAGATGTAGTCCCATCTACATTTATACACCGGGTAGTCTGAGATGGTAGTGGAGTGTTGAACAGGTTACGAAAGACATGAACTACATCCATTCATCTCAGTGGCTCTCTGAATCCTGCCAAATTCCCAATGTCCTTGCTTCAGTGCTTCAAAAGTAGCTGAGGCAGGAACATGTGGCAATGTATCTGTCCTCTCAGCTGATGGCAAAACAGTTACATGTTAAAATGCAGGCTCAAATTGATGACCTTCCCTTAAGCATGTTACAAACTCAGACTGACCTGTCTATAAATAATTCAGAGGGTATAATTTAATCTGTGTAATGGGTTCAGTGTGTTTCCCCCACATTCAGTGAGACCACATATATCTTATTACCGAGTGTATTTAGATGCCACTAAATAAAGTCCTCAAATTTTTCATCAAGGAAAAGCACCTTTGTTCAGGTAAAAGAATTAAGCAAAAACTTTATTCCAACACTGTACTGAAAAGTAAGCATAGAATACTTAAAATTAAGCAGATGCTGAAGTTTGCCTTAGTCATGGGACATCCTGCTAGGAAGCATTTCCTGATTCGCTTCTAACTGGAGTATAAGAGTGCCTGGAGTTAACCTGACTGTGGACTTTATGAGCACTGACCTGCAGTTCACAGGATGCTCCTCCACACCAGCTCCCTTTATGGACATTTGTGACATGCAGTTTGTGTGTAAGGTAGTTTACCACTTTTGTGTATTTGTAACCTTCGTTGTTCAAAATAGCTTCCCTTTGCAGACAAACATTTCATTTTATCACTCGATAATAATTATTATTTAAATAAATAATTTTCTTGATTTTGCAGGAGACTTCCTCCACACCAAATGCTGAATGTGCTTGACCTCCTAATGAGGAGGAAAAAGTAGATCATCTGGCCAGAGCATTTCGATTCATTCAGATCATTGTGCCAGAAATATTTTGAATTCTCATGAAAGTCCCAGAAGTGAAGCACTTAGGCTGTAAGACAAGAAGCAAAACCACAAGTGTAGGGGAAAAAAGGAAAGAACCTATAAATATGTAGGATATGGAGTGGCAAACTATGAAATTATCCTATTAATTAGCAATACCTTTAGACACAGTTTAAAAACTGATGAACTTGCTTTTTGGGGGGTCCTTGGTATAGAACTAACTGATGCATGACAGTACATCCAAAAGTGCTTTCCCAAATTTATGTGGAAAAGTACTTATGAGAAGAAGTATTTCTTGTTGAATGCAGTGTTTTAATACCATAAATCTATTACCTTTTCTTTCCATTATTTTGTCAAAGCTTCTTGATTTAATCCAAAGGGACAGAATTTTTCAGTGTGTTAGAGAATGATTTTTTTTAATAGAAATAAACCAGATACTGTGTAATTTCACTTGTATCCTCTCTTCTGCTTACTGCTAAGTGGCCTGATCTCAATCCCTCTGAGATCTCTGATACTGAAGAAAATCAGAACAGGAGCATCCCTGTCATCAGTTTCCATTACTCTCCAGATGCAGGTTTATCGGTGTGGTAGAGCAGGGATAGGTGCGTAAGGACTCCCAGTTATTAGCACTGTCCAATTCCAATGAAGATCGTGGCTTTCCTAAGTCAGGGTGTGCTTTGCCTGCTGTTGTCTCATGTCTAATCAGCCCCTCTGTTGGCAGGGTTATTGCTGATGAGTAGACCCCTAAAAATGTACATCTTGATTTTAGGTTCTACGAACTCATCATTGGAACCATCAGGTTTGACCTGTCATTTGGGTAGAAGTGGTGGATAAATTAGTCCTTGATGACCTCCAAGAGGTGTTTTTTTCTTATTGTCCCTCCTTATCCAGTAACCCCATTATTCATTCTGAAGTGAACTTTCTTAGCTAAGCTTCTTTTAAAATAAAAGGCCTGTATCTTCAACTTGAAGCAGAAGGACATCATTCTAGGCTAAAAGAAGTGCTCTCCTCTTTGCTTTGTTATGTATAGGATCACCTGGGAGACAGTATAAAATGGATGCGGAAAGCCTCAAAATCAACTACCGAAAAACCCTAAAAGTTGTTCTGTTGGTACAACTGTAACTCAAAATTTGGAAATAAAAGCATTTTATTTGAGCAGCCTTTCTCAAAAATGTTTCACTTCATCTTTTTCAGGAGTCATTGATGTGATGCCTCCACCCTTTTTTTCCAGCTTAAGGTTTGGGTCAAATGATAAACAGATGAAGACAGCAGAAGAATCTGTCTTCTGACTCCCTTCAAAGCATGAAGGAGCGGTGGACCTGAATTGTGAATGTTGTCCAGATCAGGGGGTGGAACAGGTTTTTCTGGCCCCATACAAAAATAATGTGATTGATGAGACCAAGGCAAGGGGAAGCTCAGGAAATATGTCCCATTCTCATCTTGGACAAACCAGTTCCAAGTGCTGGCCAGAGATGCAACAGACAGACTTTATTATCTTTATTTTATCTTGCCCAGTTTTTGACTGAAAGTAGCAGCATACTCTCATTTCAACCAGGAAAGCAAAATGTTAGTTCTTATGATTTTTTAATTGATTGATAACTGTGTAATCTTTGACTTGAACACTGTTGTACTTAGACGCACTGTCCTTTCTAGGTAACATTTCGGACAAGAATCTACCACTGTAACATTAACAGCCAAGGCGTCATCTGCCTGGACATTTTAAAAGACAACTGGAGTCCAGCATTAACCATTTCTAAAGTTCTCCTCTCCATCTGCTCCCTCCTCACAGACTGCAACCCGGGTAAGACAAATTAACTTTCATATCGATGCTTATTCACAGTTCATATTTGATCAGCTCCTAGGATGTGGTCAGTGCTCTGGTTTACTGAACGTACTGAAAAAAGACAAAAATGTAGATTTTAAGTCCCATTCATATAAATAAGACCATGTGTGCCATTCATGTAAACAGTAAAGAAAGCAAGCAAAATTCCAGGAGCTCAAGTGCATTTTTAGTACTGGAGAATAAAAATCTTTTGATTCAGAAAGTTTAATCAGTAGAAAATACCTTAGTATGCACTGATTTGAATATTACTACCAGGATATTACTACCAAGAAATATTAATGAGTTAATAAATATTGAAAAGGAAAGTTTTCCTTTAAATATGCTGATAATATGGTCTCTGGAAAGAATATTAATAGTACTGACAATGATAGATGCCTAACACAGACTCTACAAATAATGAAAATTAGTTTCAATGAGGTTTATTCAATATCTTGGGCAGTCAGTATGAGTATTCAAAGCAAGCTGTCATTCTTATTAACTAGCGCAGCACTTAACCTCTCCCCTCAGCTCTTTTGTTTGTTTTTCGCCATTGACCACTAGATCTGTAATTTCCACTTTCTCTTACCCTATTTACCAATGGATAATTCTGACTGTAGCCTTGGAAAATTGTAGTATGTAGAAATTATTAAAGAAACATTGAAGGAAAATTAAGTGATCTGTTTATGTGTCATGAGGGTTGTTTCTAGTTTATTTTTATTGTACACTTCAATATTCTTTCTAATTTGCCCAAAGGGCTAAAAATTGCTTTGAAAAAGGCAGCATATGAGATTCTGGTGTAATCAGGGGCTGAATCAAAAGCTGTAATAGAATATTGAAATATTTCAAGACTCAAAATAAGGTGAGAATGTGCAGAAATACATTTGACTGTTTTTATTTTCATGTGCATTTCTAACTGTATATAAGCTTAAAACCTATGGTGCTCCTTCTAGCTAAGAGCTGGAGTGATAGTGTTACCATTTTAGGCATATTTATTTCAGGAGTATTGAATTCTCGTTTGCTTACATCTCTGAAAGATTGGTTTCTGGTAGTGTCTACCCCAAAATATGCAGAGGTGCCTCTGTAGGTAGTCAGGCAGATTCATGACAGAAGTGTAAAGAAAAGCAAATTAATATTTGCTCATGTGTCTTAGAGACAGGTGAATAGCTAGAGCCACTGCAAAGCTGGTGAGATTGAGAAACTGGCAATAAGTGTGTGCTCTGTGGTGATCACCTCTCTTAGGAGGGATACAGTCATCTCAAAAGTTGGACGTTTTCCAGCAGTGATTGGAAATTTAGAAATTCGCTATTTCTGCCCTCTCAATCTTTTTCTTAAATCCTCACCAAAGCTGTTAAACAACAGTTTTAGCAGACCGAGTGTGTAAGAGGAATACTGAAAACACTTAACTATACTATAGTATCATGTGCAAGAAGTTAACATACTAAAAATGGTAAGTTCTTCCATTTAGCTTCTTTCAGTTACCAGCCATAAGCATTGTCCTGACCATAAAATAACAGAATTTTATGATTTTTCATTTTCAAATCTTCTCTTTAATTATGAAGTAGTTTTGGATTTTGTCACTGCTTCGTGTTAAAATTTTCCTTTGATTTTTTGAGGAATGAATGCAATTTCTTAAGTTCTGTGGTGCCCTCTCACAAGGCACTGATGGCAGGTATATGTGAACTGCTGAGTCATTTTTGCCTTCCTTGGAGATCTCCTCATTCATGATGGATACTTTTTTTATTAAAAAAGTGAACTTTGAATGTTAGTGATTTACAACAGAAAGCTTGCAAAAATCTACAGGTCCTTACTTTTAATCCTATTACCTAATATGTTACAGTTGTACTACCTGTCTCATTATTTTTTATGATATTTTATCATTTAAAAATGATTGGTTATGTGCCATTAAATGAGTGTATGGATGGATAGATAGGTAGATAGATAGGTAGATCACTGATAGATAGATCACTAAAATATATCATGTATATGTACATATGTAGGTACAGAAACATGCATATATGTATTTTCCTCTCTGTCAGCTGGGAGTAATTTTCTAATCCCTCTGTCCTTTCTAAAGGCAGAAACACAACAGGGGTCTCTATTTGATAAGCAACTTTGAACTCTTTTTTCACCATTCATCAGCCAGAAGCAGATCAGGTCAAATGGAAAGGCAACACTGAATCTCCCACAAACATAAACACTTAGGATGGGCAAGTGTTCCACCCCTGGCCTCTCTGAAGGGAAGAATCAAGTATCAGTTACCCCCTGCTCTTACATTTATGCAAATCTTCATTAGAACAACAAATAGGAGTAAGAATGGCAGCTAATTAACCCTCAGTCGTACACAGTGATTAAACGGAGCTGGAGCACAGCTGCAGCTTCATTGGCAAGAGCTGCTATTCTTCTCCAGCAGGCTGAGCAAATGAAAAGAGGTATTTGCTCCTGCCTCTCCTGTCATTCACACAGTAATCTACAAAAGCCACAGAGAGAGTCTCTTTCCTCCCTGGTTATACATCACTGCCCTTTGTTCCCTATCACTCCAGGCAGGAGTGAGTTTGTCCTTTTTAAACAACTAATACAATCCTTTACTCATAAGCTGTCTCAGACCCTTCAGTCCTGATTATTATTAATTGTCTCTATTTTGCTTGGAAGTATCATCCAGTAAACTCTGTTAATGAAATGTCTGAATTTTGTAGCAGCTGGCTGACTTTTTCATGGGGGGAAGGGGTGCCGTAGGGTTTGTGTATGAGTGAACATGTGTGCATTATCTGGGAGTGTGAGAGAGCTAGATGGAATAGTATCAGAGAGGTGGGAGAGATGGTGGGATACACTAGCAGCCTATCTGGGGATTAGTATTTTTCTTTAAGGTGATACTTGAGGGAACAACACACATCCCTTTCTACAAAGGAGGGCTCCAGTCCTGTAAATGTTTTGGCATGTGCATGAGCAACCCTATGAAACCTGATAGATACATTCATCTACATGAAATGGAGTATGTGAGTGAATGCTCACAGGCTCTGTGCTTGAGCACTGAAAATACTTCCAGTGTTACTGCTAGGGCTTGCCTATATGGGTAGTTAGTTATTTCAGAGTAACTCCAGGTGTGGACACTCCCTACTTTGAAAATGTATTAAGTTACGAAAACCTGTCTTTCTTGGAGTAAAAATCAACTGCACTTTAAGTATGCAAAGGGAACCTGGGGAGTGTAAATTCCTGCACTGCCTTAATCCAAAGGAGCTTTCAAGTGCGGATGGCCTCTGAGGTTTTGTATTTTACTGAGCTTGAAGTGCTAAACAAATTAATTATTTTTTATAGTTAGAGAGCTGGTGATGCTGATTTGGGTTAGAATGCTTATTGTTCTCCATTGGTCATTGCCATCCCAGCCCTACCAAAGGTTCTCCCGCTGCAGGAAAAATGTCATTTGCAAATGCTTCAGAGGAAATAAATTGAAACATTACAACACTATTCTTTGCGTGGCTTCCTTCTTCACGTGTTCAAGATCTGAACTTGGCTGGCCTGATTATCCCCGATGTCAGAACAGTCTAACATCAAATCATGTCTGCTAAGCCTTGATTAGGAAATCAGAACGAAGCCGGCTACATCGCCCTCACATCAGCCTCTTCCCTTCTGGTTTCATCCTCTGTCTCTGGCTCCTTACCATTTTTCCCACATACAAGTTCCACGATCATCAGTTGATGTTCTGGAACCAATGCTTTGGTGCTGCTCCTGGCTGTCTGTCCTGTGTAACAGCCGTGCCCGTCTGTAAGCTCCTGCGATGGGGATGTGACAGAGGATATGAGGGGCAGACTGAGATGGGGACAGCCACAATTTTGCTTCCCCACAAACGTTAGGCTGAACACTTGGCTGGCAGCTGTAACCAAAGTAACTACTGGGGGTTTCTACAGGGCCTCACTTGCTTTGCTCTTTAGAAACCTCTGCCTGATTCCTAACCTGAACTGACTCACAGAATTTTATACCAGCTTGTTTTTAAGCAACTTTTGTCCTGTAGCTTAAGTGACCATTTTCTTGGTTTTCATTCCTGGTTGTACTAATGAAGAACCATCCTCTTTCTTCTTTGTCTTTATTTGCTGCACACTGACCAGACCTGTGTCTATTAGCCTCCTTCCATAAGAGAAGCTTTCTGTTCCCCTGCTCATCCTCACTGCAGTCATCCTTCCTGAATGTGCCTGACTCGTAGAGTTCACTGGGGCGTGAGGCACAGCTAGACAGACTAACCCACTCATCATCACCGTCATCCGGGTGGAAATATTTACTGCTCCCTGTTGGATGTCCCTATCTCACTTCAGCCCCACTGAAGGTTATTTCTGTTTTAGCCCCATCATTCTCCCTGTTTTTCTGCTTTTTGATGAAATGGTGGAGAAAGGAAAAGGAAAAAAGGAAAAGGAAAGGGGGAAAAGGAAAAGGAAAAAAAGGAAGAATAGGCTTTTGCTAGAAAAGGATATTAATCTCTGACAAAGGAAATGCACAAACAACTGCCTGCAGTACCCGCTTCACTGGGGTCGGCACTAGTCAAGTTGGTTGCTCTGACTCTGCTCTCAGATACTTCAGTGACATATTATATTAGCAGTGTAAAGCTGCTTGTCTCTTGTTGCCTTTTAAACCTACCGGAAACTGTGAGTTTGCTGTGAACACACTTTGAGACTGAAGCGTGCATATCTTCACAGTAACTGTACTTATAAGAGTAAATGAGTTGGACAAGTGACACTACATTACCTTGGTGTGAGCCCCATCAATTTTTATAGTAGTTGCAGTTTTTCAGCACCTCTGAAAAGTAGACTATTTATGTTAAGAAAGTCTGCAACATACATTGTGGTTTTCAAATAAAATGTACCTCGGTTAGAAGTATGTGTGCTTGCTGTTTTTCAAAGTACTGACATGAATCATGAATTTATTAGATGTTTTCATACTTTGTTAACCCACATGAAGTAATGTGGCTGTGCATTTTAATGACTTACATTTAT